TGTGTGTGTGTGTGTGTGTGTGTGTGTGTGTGTGTGTGTGTGTGTGTATTGAGTTAAAGGGATAAAGACACAAACCTAAATACACACATAGGACTAAAAATTACTTGGACATGCTTTTTGAATTTAGATGTCAACATCTCCAAACCTGCTTTTACTGAGCAAACCCTCGTTACAAAAGTATACACACAATCACTATTTAACCAGTTTTATTAAACAATAGCCCAGACTTTGAGAAATGGGATCAAATAAACTCCAAAAAAAACGCAACAAACAATGGATTCAAAAAGCTGCTGAACTTGAATACAGACATTGAAACTGGACACTGTCCGTTTGTCTGCAAGTTGTTTTACCAAAATAAAAGTCAAATACAAAGTGTTTACGTACTGTAATGTCTTGATTCTGGTATCTTGCACTGAACTGTAACTAATTCCCCTGCTTTATTACATTTGAGATTATTTCAATACTGTTTTATTTATTTGTGTCTTTTATTTGGCTTGTGCTTCTTCAATATCTGGTCTTAATCTCTTTTATGTAACACAACTGCTTTGTTGCTTTATACGCCCATCTGAAAGAACTCAACACTTGTTAAAGACTCTCATTCCTCTGAAAACAGTATTTCCTTGCAAATATTTTTGCAAGACTTCCTCAACCTAGAAACAAAACAATAATACAAATTGACATGTCTTTGGCTCTCCCCTTCTAATATAATAAAGTATTTAATAGTCAAACTACATAAAAATCTTATTCCATAACAGTATTATCTGTTTTATGTGCTGCAAACACTTTCTTGTAAGCCTCGTTGTCTGTGCATTAATTGCATTAATAAATCTACCTTAAATCAATCAATGTTTACATGCAACACGATGACGCACAGCAAATGAGAGAGAAATCCTTAATGGCCTTACTGTACTTTATTGCATTTTTGTGGGATATTTCAATAATCCTCCCGTAATATCGCAATCATTCTAAGCGCGCAGCAGCACCGTAGAAGCGCATCTAGTGACCACAGTTCCCCCCGTGATGTCCTTCATAGGATGACTGTCCACACAGAGGTCTGGCTCCTCACAGATGAATGAAAATGAGAGCATCTCTCCGTTTGTCTGCGAGTACCTCATCCTGCTGCGCCTCTTTGGGTTTCTTCTTGGTCGGATCTTTGGACGCCGTCATTGTACCGAAGCCACGGTGCTTCTGCTTCAGCCTCAACCCAGCGGCTCTCCCGGTAATAACATCCGAACCTGTCGGCGCGTCAATTTAGCGGCACGAGCGGCAAGCTGGACCGAAGCACGACAAGGATGACTTCCGGGTGTGACTTTCAAAATAATCACAGGGTTTCGCTTTCTGGTGACACACAATTGTTTTTATAAGGATAATACATATTTATTGTATTAGAAGAATAGTACTAGACCTCTTTTAGATTCAGTCTTTAGTAGTTCAAATTCAATTTTGATATCATTTTTTTGTCATATGCTTTTATTTTGTTAATGTATGCAAACATCCGGTGTCACAGTCTGGCTATCTTCGAGAATATATAATTGTTTATTTTGTGCTGTACAAATCTATCTATCTATCTATCCATACATAATATTACATATATAATTATAATGAATAGTAATGAATATACACAATATATATATATATATATATATATATATATATATATATATATATATATATATGCACTGTTTATTCGTTTTAGCTACCTGTTTCAACAAATACAATTTGTTCTGATGTGTCCTAAATAATAATAAAGTTATTTCTAATGCATGATCTGATTTTAACGGTATGTAAACCTAGAATATGTTTCTGTAGTGAAACTGTCGATGGTGCTAAAAACAATCTAATCTGTCAGTTAACATTTATTGGTAAATAAGATAAGTAAGAAACAGTGGTAGAAGTACTACTGTAGTTAAGTCAAAGTATAGCGATAGCTCAGTGTAGAAACAACAAGTCCTGCATTAAATATCTTAAGATACAAAAGTATTGGCATCAAACTATTCTTTGAATCTGCAAAGTAACTAGTAACTAAAGGGATTCAATTAATATCGTGGAGTAAAAACTACAATATTTCCATTTTTTAACAATGTATTTGTTGTGGAGTAGACAATCGAAAGTACCTCAAAACTATAGTTGAGTAAATGTATTTCCCCCACTGGTAATGAAGACAAATTCCAAAAGGTAACCAACCGTATTCAGAGACGGACTAATTGATTAAAGCTGCAACAGGAGCTAAAAGCATTTAAAAAGTAATTATCTCAGTAATTAATTAAACTAAAATTCACGTCTGTGGTTTAATGAATCTGTTTCACTGACACATGATGTCGTGTAATATTCCCTTAGGGACTCGGCCTTGCTCTTTGTGGTATTTTTACCCCTGATGATGTCACTCTACTACTCCTACAGTATCACTTCAGCGACTAGTAACAGGAGTATCAGAGGGGAAGCGAAGCGAGACAATCGAGCAGATTAGTAACCAGCTGGCCTTCCCTGCTGCTGAGTGACTGAATGCAAACTGATAGGTGTCACACAGAAAGCCCAAAAGACACAAACTCCAGCAACACACACATACTGTGCCTACTATCAAAAAATATACCAGGAGGTGGGGAAATAAATAAAGACGGACGACACTAGACGAACCAGCCTGCAGATATTAGTCTCTTTGTGTGCATCTTCTTGTACATGTCTGTACTTCTGAGGACCAAATGCTGCCACAGGGGACAGAAAAATAGGAGCAAAAGTAAAATGACTCCTACTGCAGGCTCATAGGATTATATCATCCTTCTAGAGCCTAACGCACACATTCTGAAGGCTTGAAGGGTTGAGGAGGGCTGCTAGTGATGTGCAGTAACGTGAGTGCGAGTAGCTCAGTGGAAACTGAAATAGCGAGTTTATGCTCGAGTGAAAACTGGAGGAAAGTGGCAGCAGATCAAAAATCCTGAGGAAAGCAGAGAGGGAAGAAGTAAAGAGCGTATTAAAGGATGAATGGAGAGAGGTTGAGGATGATGGACGCCGTGGAGGAGGGAGGTAGTAGGAAAAGAGAGGGAGGATAGCATCCTCAATGCTCGTGCATGGACTCTCTTCTTTTCTTCATTAAATATTGAACAAGGGGAATCAGAGAGCACATGGAAATGATCTCTCTCTCTCCGACCTCTGCTGGTGTTTGGGAAGTTCACTGACGTCCCTGAGGCGGAAATCCTCAGACAACAACCTATGTGTGCATTTGTACGTGCATTACTAATTCTAGCATTTGTGCATGTTTGCTGTTTTGTGCACCAGCCTTCATGCCTTTTTCTGTCAGAGTTTAAACTCATGTTGATTCATGAGTGTGCATTTGCTTTGTAACAGCTATTAATATGGAGGCTGCAGAACCAAATGATTTAACTGCCATTGATTTGATTTATTGGAGAAG